ACTAAAACCACAGACATTTTTAACACAGAAAAAAATATCTTGATGCATATACTGGACCTGGTAGTTGAAAAAGCTTAGCATTTGCCTAAATAGATGAAAAACCTATCTAAGCAATGCAGTTACAAGCACTCCTTGTAAGCTGATTTATGGATTAACATGCAACACTCTGGTGAAATTTAATACAAAATTAGCTACTCACCTTTTGCATGATTCCCTTTTCATAATAATAGCGAAGTGATCGGCTAAGTTTATCATAGTTCATAGCTGGCCTATTTTTCTGAATCCCCCAGCGACGTGCCACCTGCCACAAAAATGGATTAGCATTGATTTGTTAAATGCATTTAACAAGCAGATCTTATCATCAGATACTTTATTTGAGGATGAAGGAGGGGGAACCCTGCCGGTGGAACACATAAACACAAGAGAAAAGGTTACCATGACCTGAATTTCCCATGTACTACTATGATTTTTAATTGGACATGCAGTCATCCATTAAACTTGAAGCACACTTACTTATTTGCAACTGTAGTGGAGGGTAGGGGGCTTTTGTTTATTTTTAATAAAGAAAAACCTATGAAAACTTAGCGTCATATAAAGAGATGACAGATCAAAAATATTTATCATGTTCCACTAGAAAACTTTCCTGAAAGATGAAAACTTTTCTTTAGTTTAATACTGTGGATAATTGTACTATTTCCGTGTTTTCCTTGCTGTCAGAAGACTAAGTTATATTAAACACACATGCATATGCACTTAGTTCATGAACTAATACAGACTGTACCTGGAATGACAGTAATGTTGAGATTATTAAGAGATACAAGTCAAAAGCCAACTCCTAGTCTTAAATATTACTTCAGCAAAGAAAATTATCAGAGGAGGCAAGGTAATCGCTTGGAAGAACTCTATGATAGCATGAACAACAGGACAGAAATTTCATAGTTACAGTTGTATAATTTCTCTTTAAAAATAATAATAAAAAGAGAGTTGCAAGCAACTCGTGAAGCCATTATATACAGAACAACATGCCTTTTACTCTGACTTATGATTTCTACTTGCCTTTACACTTCCTGTTTTATTGCCAAAGGTAGTTCTGGACAAAGAGACCTTTTGTTTAAAGAGCTTAACTGCTTATTCCCCACCTGAAATTATAATCGGCTGTTGGTGACATTTCAATTACTGCCTGTACAAATGACTATCATGTCACTAGAGGGGAAAAAAGTCAGAGCTGATGAACCCTTTAAAGTACATTTTATAAAAATGTTTTAGAGGTGCGTATGCAGACAGCTCTGGAAAAAGGAGAGCGTAGCCGAGCAGCTTTTCTACTGAATGTGCTACAAAACTTTCCGATAGGTGTCTGGAGCCTTTTGATGCAAACCATAGACAATATGCAGCACTGAGAATTGAAGGGGACTAAATAACAACAGCAAAATCCATGACTTTGATCTCCATCTGGACAATAATTTTTTAAATTTCTTTTTAAAGAATTATTTCATTTCAGTGGTGCAGCTTTCCAGGCTTATGTAAGTTATCTTGGCTCTGCTAACTTCAGCTATGTTATAGCTGTATTGAAACATACCTCCAATCACGTCGATTTATTCCAGCTGTAGATTTGGCCTAGATGCATAACCTTGATTCACCTATTCATCTTTGTAACACATGCCTACGTCACTCTTTCTTTAGTCCTGCCAAGTTTTTTTCCTGCATTAATCAGAGTCCTAAAAGTCCCCAACATAACAGGCTTGTATAATAAATAAGTACACAGTAAAGGTAACTACAACAAAACAATGCTTGAGAATATGCTATATTGTGCGGTATTTTGACATTCCTAAATAAGCAAGCAGGTCCAGAAGTAGTCTTGGCAAGCCAGTCTTCCTGTCCCTGAACTGCACAGCATTTATCATGTCTTGCACTGTGGAAGGGATTCAGGCTTCTAGCCTTCCACCTCACCTTCCTGTTAAAGGTTGCCATCCCCATGACCAGGTAGCAGAAATGGGCCTGTGCCCAATTCTTACCCTCCACAGTTCACAGTTATCTACTTTCTGAATGAACTACGGTGCTCAAGGAGCTGATACATATTCATTTTTGTTGTCACTCTTTCTACAAGGGCATAAACCTCCAGAAAGGGATGGGATAGAAAGGTCACATCATTGACATCCAAACCTGCCACAGCTGAATCAACAAGCTCTTTGACTTCCCTTCAATTTGCACTTGGCAACCAACAAAAAAGTGTGAACTTCCCATAGGCTATTCTTATTTTAATCAACAGTTTCTGTCAGATCCATGACATTCATATGAAAACAACTTAGGCTCCTTTGTACTCCCTAAGAGCACACAGGACTAAGCAACTTTCAAGTAGCCTGCCTCCTCCAGATCTTGGATGCAGTGCTGCTCAAAAACACAAAGCAACTGCTACAAAGTCAGACAAACAGATGATCTGGTTAACTTAAATTAGAATATCCAGTTCTTCAGGGAATTAAGCAATAAGGAAATCCTAAGGTTTTGTTTTGCTACTTTCCTTTCCTTAGCTAAGAAGATCTATACAGTTTTTGCACCAGTTGCTGGGAACCATTTGTCAACAAAACTCTTTAATCTCAAAAAACTTTGGACACACCTTAAAGACAAGACAAAACTAAGAGGGTAAAAAATACTGAGTCCAGGGCAGGGGGAAAAATCAGATACCTCATTCACCAAAATCAAACAAAAGCCTTTCCAAAGATTTCACTGATCTGGGCCAGGTCACACAACTAAGAAGTCTATGTAGCCTGCTAAGGCTGCAGACATGCCAGCAAAGTTTCAGGATCAAATCGACTGAGACTGTTCTGTGGTCAAATCCTCAGAGGCACAATGCCAGATCTGCCATGGTGATCAGCACTAGTGCAGAGGATGCTCGGACAAACGAGAGCCGGCACACGGGTCCTTGCAGCAACCTGCGCCTCAGCCAGACCACGTCGGGAAGGAAAGGGACATCAGTCCTGTCGCCATCTCCAACCACTCTATCACCCCCTTAGGGCTGCTGGCAGATGATGTAACTTAAATGCAAGAAAGCTTTCCGATTGCTTAAGCCAGCAGACGGATAACAAACAGCAGAAATAGCTCGTGGAACGCAGAAGCAGCCTTACACCTCCAAACCTTCCTCCTCAGCTCTAACTCAGAGAGGACCCTGACAGAAAATTTGCTGCGGCGTCCTCTATTACCCAACCCTGTTCAAGGCGTAAAAAGGTAAACCAGGATGATATTGGTTTTTGACAACCCTAATCAAATAATCCACATCAGCATTACAATAAAATTCAAGCACACCAGATTTTCAAACAGTTTCCATGGCTGTTTAGAACACAGCTATTTAGAATTTAATGTTGCCTAGTCCAAAAAAGTTTAAGTAATAAAATGTTCAATTTATTCCTGTTCATCACACAAGTGAACTAAGTCATGCTTCAGCAAATGTTCATGAATACAAGTAATTTTATCTACCCCACGAGTCCTTCATGGTTCAGGGGAGCTGTGCATGTGCATGAGTGTTTGCAAGCCTAGTATCTAAGTGTGCACTAAACAATCTAACGATACAGATAAGAAGGAACACTGGATAAGGCTTTAAAAAGAGGGGAGTTCATACAATTTTGATAGGATTTTACTGCCCAACTATCTCAACCTCCTCTTTTGCCATCTGTCAGACTTAAGGTCTTTCACTCTACAGCCTAAAAGCTCCAAGTTCTCACATCTTCACACTGAAAAATATTTGGTGTTGAAAGACTATTCAGGGACAAATTTTCAAAGGATTTTGGAAGTCAGCTGTATTCATGAAGCAGTTTGGTTCTGAAAAATCCAGGCCCCACAATCAATGCTGAGTATTTTGTAACTCTAGTACTTGCAGTATTTTAGTATTTTGCGGGATGAGGAAATTAAGCCTATGCTTAACCATACTTCCGTCCTAACTGAAGCCCTTCCCTTGCTCTCCCTCTCTGTCACTCTTCTAAAGTGCTATTGAAGCATAATATTGAAGGAAAACAAGGCCTAAGTCTGAAATAGCACTATTAAACTGGCAGGACAGGGCAGCAGATGTCAGGGCACACTGTCTGTCTGACCCACCTCCTCCGGCTCGATCAGCTTGAATTCCATGCCTCGGCCGGTCCACGCTATGAAGTGGGAGTTTGATGGGTCATCAAGAAGAGCTACCAAGAACTGCCACAGCTGAAGAGAGCCTCGCCGTTGATACGTGGGTCCCTCGCGGTACATGCCTGGCTCCTGTTTGACGTCACCTGCACGGAACAGCAATGTCAGACGAGCAATGTGCAAAAACCATCGTCACTCGGTTTGTCAGATAAATTGGCAAAGCAATCGTTAGGGATCATAAAACAGAGGGAAAGAATTCTTACTACCTAGCCACCCACAAATACAACATTCTCCTGTCTGCTGTTAATTGTAAACACTCTTACAATAACATATTCATGTACTAAAAAGTACCTAAATTCAGCCATGATTTATGGGAGTCTCCGTAAGACTATCCCCATTTACTCCTGATAAATGCAAATCTCACTTGCAAACTGTTTTGCAATATCCTCTATCTGAAAAAGCATGAACTATTTTTTTAAGCAACTCTGATGTCTGAAGAACCGCGTTTGTGTGCTATACTTTGCACAAGCTCCAGTTTTGGAAATGTAACGTATGCTTCATAAAGCTGCAAAACCCTATTGAGTGAAACTTCTTTTGCATGCAAATGCTTCTAAGGAAAATTTGACAAAGTATTTGACTTGGACTTAAACAGCATGTGCTTTACGGATAGGTATGCAAATCCTGCAGATATGAGAGTTCCTCTGTGGCATATTGGAATTGCATATAAGCACATATTACTTTTACTGATATCTACATATTAGATTAGTATTCCCCCTGAAAAGCAGTAAGTTAATTTTTCCAAAATTCCAAATCCAAAGGAAGCTTTTAAAAAACAATAATAATATTCTGCTAGTTGTTCCACAAACTGCCAATGAAAGACCATTCTGCTACACTCATACTGTGTCTCTGTTGTTTTTAAATCATATTCACACTAAACAACTCATGTAAACAACAACAGTTGAAAGGTCCGATGCCAAAGCAAACAATATTTTTTTCTGCACATAATGACTGCAATTCTTGATATGCAAGTGAAACTCCTCGTTTCAACTACCAGAACGGTGATACTCTCTAGTAAGCAGTGTGACCTGTTTAATACGCAAAGCCAGGACTTTACATTTAACCACAACATTAGGATGCTCTGATGGTCATTACAGAACAGCTCCGTGTAGTGAAAGCAAGAAGAATAATAATACTAAAAATGAAGCACTTCCTTTTGTAATCAGGAAAGAAAATTGAGTAAATAGCTGCGGAAAACAAATAAGTCAACACAAGGCTTTCTGGTTTATGTGAGGTTCAAGTTCCAGTCCTGAAAGGCCTCCTTTTTCAAGGACAGGATTTTTCTTTTAATGATAGCTGAGCAATGCACAAATAGCAAGTGCAGTATTACAGAGAATCGGATTCTTTGCCTGTGCTGATCTTTGATTTCAAATGAAGCAGCTGAGAATCTACTGCTGAAACATCAAGACTAGCCCTGGGCTTATCCCACTTTTGCTTTACTGGCCAAAGCATGATGACACATCTGCTACTTTTTCCTCAAAAGTCATAATGCTACAAGTATAAACACACCTATTTGCACCACAACATCAATCCTCTAGAGCACAAGGTGTTCCCTCAATGGACAGTCATAGAAGCTAGGAGCAGACTGCTTGCTTTGCAAGCACACAAATATTTCCAAATATTTATTTCTTTTATTTGTATTTCTTTTCCATTTTCATTTCCTTCCCTGTACAAAACCCAAACAAACAAAAAGGATTTTCAAGACAGACATAGACAAACGCTACTCCAGAAGAGTTTTAACTTCGTGTAGTACAGAGTCTGATCCTATTCCTGTAAATGTAAATATGAATTTGCCACTGACACTGATCAGAACAGTTTAGGTCCACAATCATTTCTGGGGAAGAAAAAAACCTGACACAATGTGCTTTAAAAAAAAGAGGGGGGGAAGCAAACATTCCAAAGCCAGGGTATAAAGTAGATTTTCAATCAATCACCCATTCAGTAAACATGTCAATCCAGTGACAATGCAATACTGCATTGAGCAATCTTCAGTCCAGCCTAATATTATTTAAAATTCTCTATTTATTTCTTGCTATTCCTTACCAACCCTGGAATGTACATGATACTTCCGTTGGAGGAATGTACAATTCTTTGGGTTAGTTTCATTTTAGAGTCTCCCATTCTTCAGCAAACATAACAACTGCTGCTAGACACACGATAGTTTTGAAATCCACATAAGTGATTCTCAGGGGAAAACAAACAAAATAATGCAGGAGAAAAATCCCAAGAGTACTCCAGCTCTACTTTTAGCTATAGTCAAAGCACTATTCACAAGTTTATCAGAAAGTATCTAATCTTTCCTGCTAAAATAAATAAAGCTGGACACATGCACCCTAACACAAAGAAGCCACTCTAGCAAATTTAAGTAATTGGTTTCCAAATTACCTCCCAAAGTTGCAGACTAACAGAGTCACTGGCAAGAAATACTGAGTCCATCTACTTTGTCTATAATGAAATAAATCTGAAATCAACTGAGTTACACCAGGAAACTGATTTTACATCAGAGTAACTGAGGATAATTTGGGCCATTTATTTTAATTGACCTCAGAATCCCTCTTAAAAAAAAAAAAGTCTATTGTAATGGGTAGTGTTGTGAAAAGATCATCAATTTATTATCAATGTCACTGAAAAATAAACTACTAGTACAATGTTTAACGTAGTGCAAATACACTGACAAAACCAAAAACGCCCTATACGCTCACTCCCCGCTACTCATCACTTCACAGGCAGCGAGTCAAGAGGCTTCATCCCCAGTAAAACCAAAGCTGCTGCTTTCTCTGCTCTTTCGCTAATTACAAGAACATCTTTCATTAAATCTCAAACAACAAGCAGTATGTGATCGTCAGTGCAATGGAAATCCTCCTATTACTTCTCAACAGTACAGGAACTGAGCTCCTCTGCTGCAACTCTTGATGCAGCATCTTTTGCTGGCAAAAGTCATATGACATCCTATTGAAAAGGAGATTTTGGTTTCAAGAGACAAAGGTCAGCTTTGGTTGGGCGCACTGCAAATGGTGTGTTAAGGAATCCTAAATTGAAACGTTACTGAGCTTTTTTGATCAGCAACAGAGAAAAGTCCCTCATCTCTTCCTTTTTCATCTCCCCATACAAGGAAAAAAAAGAGGATGTGTCATACATACCATCAAACTTCTCTGGAACAACACAAGTGTCATCATAAAACTGCCTAGGTCCCTTTTCATACATACAGCCTGTAAGTTAAAAAGAAAAAGGTATGTATATAAGAGATGCATGGAGAAAGAAGAGATCATAGGCTTAACGCCAAAGGGAACACTAAGTCATAGAGGAATCAGATTAATATCCCACATCCTTTATACACCGCCCAACTGCAACATTTTGGTCTCAGTACAGGGGTGTTTAATTAATGTGTGCATTCCCAAAAGACTGTTAATCTCCACCTGCAAAAATGAAAAAGCACCCATTTTTCTCTATGATTTATTCAGAAATGTTTGTCTCATTTCCTGTTTGAACTAGCATGGCTTTGACTTTTAACCATTAGCTCCTACGGGTCTTCGCCCTGCAAGACTAAAAACGTGCTACTAGGTATTTCTTCTCGATGCTCCCAGAAGTCACCCCCCTTGATGTTTCTTCCAATTAAGATAATTCTGTAAAGTTTATTTTTTATTGTTAAGACACTCTTTGCAACCCTGCATTCTTTCTAGCACTCTATTCTGTACACACTCCTACTTTTCAGTATTATGTCAATGTTTTACTTAACCAGAACTGTACTGAATGCCAGTATCAGCCACACCAGTGCTACTTAACGAGACAAAACATCTCCTCTTCCCCTGTCTCACTATGACTCTCCTTTTGACTGTACAAATATTACAGAAGGCCTTTTTGCCATACAGTTGCAATGTTTGGTTGGGCTGGTTTTCGCACTGTGAGGCTGAGGAGGAGGAGGCCCATTAAATAATTTTTTCCAATATAGTTTCCCAGTTCCATAGGCCTGGTCTATATTCAGCATATTAAAAACACATTTTGTTTAATGTGCCCAGATTACCAAACAATTCAAAATGTTTTGTGTGACTGCCCTGTCCTGCCCGTTATTTACCACTCTATCTTTGTGCCATAAAGTTATCTATTAACTTTGTTCCGTATCTTTACTGAAAGTGTTGAATAGCAACACTCCTGATATCAATTCCTACAGAACTATAATAGAAACAATCCATTCAGAGATGATTGCCCAGTGACAACCACTTTTAGATCTGTCATTTGGCCAGGTCTTAATGTATTTGATGTGTACTTTATTGATACTGCTTTGTGCTAACTTCTTAATCAGAATGTAATGCAGTGGCAAACTGAATGCCATAAAAAGTCTAACTATATGACACAAGTATCTTTATCAATCAAACTTTTAATCTCAGCAAAGAATAGAATCAGATGACCTTTATTCCATAAAATCTTGTTGACTGATTTCCAAATACAGAAAACAAATATTTATCGAACATTACTGGGTTTTCTACGTCATTCATAACAATTTTACCACCTCCAAGTACATATGAGTGCATGACATGACTAAGATTGTTTTTTCTCCCATCTAGACTGTGATTACAACTCAAATCTATTGACTTTAGCCCTGCAGTTTGTGGACTTTTCCCTGATGTCTTTCATCTCCCATATCAAGTTTCTATACTTCATATAATTTCATATACCACGACTTACAAAATTTCCATCTCCTGTTTCAACCGCTTTGTTAAATATTATTTTTTATTTCTATTTTCTGCCTTTATTCCACACTAGAAGCAGTTGAGCTTTTAGCCAGATTTGTTATCTTTCCAGTAGTGTCTTTTCACTAGTGAATGAAGTCTTGCTAGAGAACTTTGATTCATACATCTGTCTGAATTCTCATCAATTTCAAAAACAACTTCCCTCATGTTTGTGAAATTTGGCCCTTGGGGAAAAAAAAAAAACCAAAACCCTAAACAAACAAACAAACAAACAAACAAACACATATTGACAAGAAAGATACACCAGAGCAGGAGCGGAAGGTACAAGGTACAACCTCTCTTTCAGTGGTCATTTTTTCTTAGTTTCGTTTGCCTTCTTATTATTAATGCATATAAAGTGCTTTTACACAGAATTATTAAATTTGACAATGAACTAAGCTCTGCCCTACTGAAGTCAATGAGAGTTTTGGAGCACCAAAACATCGCAAAAGCCATAACAAAAGGAAAAGCCAAAAACCTTTACTGAAAACTTTTTAAAGTATAAAATGGATTACTTAACAGTTAACTGAGCCTGTCACACCAATAGTCTGGAAAATATCACTTGAGCCGAATAGGTGAAATGGACACATTTTTAAGCGTCTCTTCCCTTCAACTGTTAGAGGCCTTGAAAAGCAGAATATTCATAATAAAATTTCTTCTATCCTCATCAACCTGTGGCACTAGAATAAGCTACAAAAAAAATCAGAGCATCAGAAACTCAAGACTGAGAAGAGAAAGAAAGATGATGCGATTCTTCCCAGCTGCGGAATTAAACCAGTGAACCCCAAAACCCTCCAGTTTTTTTAATTTTTCATCTTTCTCTCGTATAAAAGCAATACATAATAGAAAACTTAACTTCTGTTCTGTTTGGGTGAGCCAGGAAGCCTTCTTGCCTCATGTAAATGGAATGGCAGCTAGGCACTTCTGAAAGGAGAAGACGACAATGCTAGTCAAAAGACTGTCTGGAATTAAAGGTGTGCAGGTTATCAATGAGACAGGCTGCAGGCAGAGGAGCAACAAACAGGACACAAGTTACGGCAAGGGGGAACCTGTCAACACATAGTCAGCATTTCAGAGCATTGTGCACAAGGCATGGAGGAGGAGAAAATCATAATGTGAGGATCATAGATCCCATCTAAAAAAGGCGCTTGAACTCAAATCCTTACTGTAATCAACTTTGCTAAAAGCTGACTCCCATGACAATCATGCTTTAGACCATTCACAGACCAAAAAATCCACATAAGACAGTATGAATATTTTAATCGCTGTGCTTTTATATTTATCTTTATAAGTAATTCAACCTAACATTTGCAATCAATTATACAGAAAAGCCTGCCAATCATACCGGAGACTTATAAACTCTACATAAACACAACGAATGTCAGAGTGAATTTAGAGTAGGATATTGCTTTTTAGACTCAGGTTAACGATTTGAAGGGTTAATAAAATTTTCTGCAATTGCTAAGCATTTAATCTAGGAATTCAGATGCATCATTTCGCCCTCCACCTGTATATCCTTAAACAAAGACACATCCCTCAAAAAAAATCAGTGCACGTGTTCTAAGTAATACAGACATTTATTTGCCATTCCCCACCTCTACTCAAATATGCAAGAAGGACGAGAAAACCCAAACAGAATTAATGAAAATGGTGTTCTTTAAATGTCTTTCCGTTTTTCCCGTGTCTTGCACTGTCCCCAAGTAGCCACATCCTGTGTGCAGGGACTTGCAAACAGAAATACACCAAAATGTTTGCCCTTCTGGACCGTGTTTAACCCACCTCTTGGATATCAAAAGTCTTGCTTAACAAGTCTATTTGATCTTGTGATAAACTCCTACCCTTAGCTATGCAATCTGTTACCAGTAACTTGTAACTCTTTAAGCGATGCAAACAGAAGTCGAAAGAGCAGACGTTATTTTTCCAACACTGCCTACAGACTCTTTCAGACTGTGATTTCAAATTTCACTGTTCCCTGACTAGTGATGAGTATCAAAGATTTAGCAGGATAAGAAAATGAAGTTTTACACTGACTTCACAAAACAAGTGAAACACAGGGCAGTAATAAGTTTCTTCTAACAATCTCTTGCACATCTGTGACAAACTTTTCATTACCTCCTCTCTCGATGAAATACTCAGTGTCTGCCTGCTCAGGCCTTGAGAATCTCTAACGTCTCAGGCAGCTATTCAGAGCAACCACAGGAACCGGTGATTCAGTGATCACACAAGTCAAGTATAGCTCTGTAGACTAGAAGTCAAGGCTACAAGTAGTGGTTCACCTGCAAGGAATCACTCATGTTACTAAGTAGATTGAATTTTAGGGAGAATGGAAAAATCTGCGTAAAAAAAAGAGGAAGCTGGAGAACTGAAACAGATGCTATTTTCTATTTTAGGTAAAAATTCACTAGTATTGGCAGCAAACCCCTTTTTGACTCATGAACTCCACTCCTGCAAAGTGATACAGCAGAGCATACGGAATAAAGAATTGCACACACATCCAAGAAGTCATGCTCTTAGCCAATTTAGGGTTTCATCTCCCATGCTCCTAAGTCAATTATAATTAACATCTGGAGTCTTTTTAAAGCGAGCATTGTTTGTACCAATATTACTTAATCTTCTGGTTAGCTTGTGCTTAAACAGTCCACAGAGGACCGAAAAATACAGCAAGGAAGAGTTTATTTCTCGTAAAGTAACTAGAGTCTTGTTATCCTAAAGTGCTATCAGTTAATTTATGACTATCAGAGTGGGTCAGACTCTAATCAAATTGTAGAAACATTTCCAAAGTGATTATTCAATCAAATGACTAACATGGTTAATTAGGAGCCATAAACATTGCTCTGAAGTTCATCAAAGTAATGACTTGCCCAGAAAAATTACTGCTAATTAAATTGCCTGCTGCTTTCATTTCTACCTTATCTAATAAAAAGTTCAACCAATGAAATTTAGCATTGCAGTTTTAAATTGTACTAAATGCTTGACTAAGACCCAGAAGTATTTTTACTAGCTAAGCGATGCTACTTCAAAAGAAAACATTGTAGAGCAGAAATTACAGGGCAATTATATGTTTTCTTCTCCTTAAAGCATTGTTTCAAGACAACAAATGAGATATAATTAGCCATAAAATACTTCCAGGGTAGGATCCAAGTGTTTGAGGTGACTGATTCTATCACCTTTTAGCAATTTTTAGTCTTTGAAGAAAACTGTGCCTGGATTTAGGACACTCAACAAGCTTATTTCTGATTTTTAGTGAAGTAATTCACATTGTAACGTTACATCATCTCAAGAACAGCAGAGTCCCATTAAGAAAAAAACAAACTAACTACAAATACGGAGACGTAAAAAAAATAATTTATCTTTTATTATTAATTTGGAATACTTAGAGGTCATTCTTCATTGCTCCTCTTGCTAACAGTAACATAGCAGTCATCTTAAAACAATGAATATGGCCTTATATCATATTGATTTGATATAACTTTTTTCCCAGCAGGTGTTATTTTAAAATTGTGTGTAATCTAGACACTGCAGAAATGCCTTCTCATCTGGGAACGTCACAGAGAAAAATACTGGAAATAGGCTCTGTTGTGCCTTAATCAAAATACATCAAAGCAGAAAAAGCCCAAACAGACTTCCCCAGGACAAGAAAAATCTGCTGCTGAATTTAGCAGTCACAAGTTCTTGGTTTCAATATTGAGTAAGATAGTTGAGTGGTCCCTTGGTAAGCAAGTATTTTATATTAATTACCGTATCAGAATTTAAAGGGTAAGTTACACAGGGCTGAGACAACCTAGAAGTGGCTCCTTAAATCCTCTTTTTTAATTGTTTTTCAGACAAAGACCAGGTTTCAGACCCATTATCACACTCTGCACAGAAACAAGACAGGTGAGACACATGGAAGACGAAGCTTCCACGGGCAACGGGATGAAGTGAGCGTCTTCTCCTGAGTGAAGCAGAGCAAAGCAGGAACTGGAAACCTGAAACAGGATTTATTCTTCAGCTGCTCCTGCGGTTCTGACCTTACGTAGCCTTCCTGACTAAGGACACGTTGTTACATTACACCCTAACTCTGAATTACTTTTTAGTTCACTTTATCGACACCATCTGAAGATTTGGAGGCCTACGGCACTGCCCATGCCCATGTTCCTGTGACAAAGCACAGTGCGATACAGAGGTATTGCATTACATACGTGCATGTGCCGAGAGATGGGAGACCAAGGTTTAGCAGGTGCGCAGTCTTCAACGGGCTGGGTGACGAAGTTGAACTACCCGCCTGGCCTTGATCCCTGCGTGGCAGTTCAGGTGAACGGTACAGTGTACTGTGAGCAGCTGCCTTAAGCACCAAGCCTGCCTACAAGTAATAGAATCATGGAATCATAGAATTATTTAGATTGGAAAAGACTTTTAAGATGATGAGTCCAACCGTCAACCTAACACTGCCAAGTCCAGAATACCTCCAGGGATGGTGACTCAGCTGCTTCCCTGGGCAGCCTGTTCCAATGCTCAACAACCCTTTCGGTTCGAAAATTTTTCCTAATATCCAATCTAAACCTCTCCAGGCACAACTTAAGGCCATCTCCTCTTATCCTATCACTTGTTGATTGGGAGAAGAGACTAACACCCACCTCGCTACAACCTCCTTTCAGGTAGCTGTAGAGAGCAATAAGGTCTCCCCTGAGCCTCCTTTTCTCCAGACTAAACAACCCCAGTTCTCTCAGCCACTCCTCATAAGACTTGTTCTCTAGACCCTTCACCAGCTTCACTGCCCTTCTTTGGACACGCACCAGCACCTCAGTGTCTTTCCTGTAGTGAGGGGCCCAAAGCTGAGCACGGTATTCGAGGTGCAGCCTCACCAGTACAGAGTAGAGGGGACAACCACTTCCCTAGTCCTGCTGGCCACACTATTTCTGACACGAGCCAGGATGCTATTGGCCTTCTTGGCCACCTGGGCACACTGCTGGCTCATACTCAGCCAGCTGTCAACTAATACCCCTCAGGTCCTTCTCTGCCAGAAAGCTTTCCAGCCACTCTTCCCCAAGCCTTTGGGTCCAAGGTTCAACCCCTTCCCCAAGCCTTTCCCTGTTGCACAGGGACCCAAGTGCGGGACCCAACACTTGGCCTTGTTGGATCACATACAACTGGCCTTAGCCCATCGATCCTGCCACTCAACTTCATCTCGAAGTCGCTCAAATTCATCAAACACCTCCTTCAACTCATACGTGAAACTTGTCTCCTTCCTTACAGGTGTAAAACAAAGAGAAGACACTAAAACTGGAACCTTCTTACTATTTGTCCACCTACTTCTCCGATTTACACTTTATTACAAACTAAGTCATATTAAGAACAGAAGCAGTTCCCAGTGAATACAGCCAGTCCTGTAATTTAACTTACACCATATCCTCCTCAATGGTCCTTTTGGTCTGAAAAGTAATTACACTGTCTTTGGCTCCTTATTTCAGCAATTCAGAGTTGGCATATCTACACCAACAGACTTAAATGTGCTGTGCCACTTGTCTTCCCATAGCCAAGAAATACAGCACATGTAGATTCTTTCCCTTTGTGCTACTGGGCCCAGAAGGGCATGCACAAGCCCCTCGGGTAGCTGGGACCAACCTAGCTCCCAGGTGCCACGTGCCAGGCTGACTCTGTGCCACACGCACAGCGAGTACACCAGCCCTCCCTTCAGTGCCTTGCAGGGCTTTGCCGCGTACTTCCTTGTGTAATTCGAGCATTTCTCTGATACACGGACAGATGGGTTGGTTTTTACCAACCATTTCTCTGATACACGGAGAGGGAGAGGTTTTTACCAAGTGCAGAGACAAAGGTAGCCTTTGTAAAATAAAATGTTTGAGCTAGAACACATCTTACTTTCGGCTTCTGACTTGCTAACATCACAATCACACTGCAAGTAACTTTTCTCCTCATGGATTTCC